GTCAGGGAACGGGGGTGTTGGATGGCGCAGGAGTCCGGGGCGGGCAGATAGGAGGTGGGGGCCGGGCCACGACCCCTCCCCTAACCGGCCCTCCATACAATTTACAAAACCCGATGCAGCCCTCAGGCCAAAAACAACAACTTTGCCCACCCCGGTCTTAGACTCTCAAACATTTGGGGGAGAAACCTCCTTATCAACACCCCCTCCATATACACACTTAGACACCCTATTCTGGAGGCCTTGAATCATGGCTGTTAGCTTGGCTTGCAGCAGCTGTCTTAACAGGGGTCACCATGTGCCACAGACTTGATTACAAGCCTCAGTACCCAGTAGAGGCGCAGTCCCCCTCAGTGAGCTTTACTGAGCAAATGTATTTGGCCACAAGCCCACAGAGCAATCCTTTCCCCACAACACGTTCAATCCAGCTCTGACTGAACATTCATGCTATTAATATTGATTGGACACCAGACTTAACCTGTAAGTAACTGTAAACAGGCAACACTCCAAGTATTGTATTAAAGAATGTACAATATGTTTTGGTCCCCTCCCAGTAATAACTCGATCTGTTCTCTTCCAGATATTTAAGTTCATAAGCTTTAACAAGACGATGACTCAGCTGTCTTCCACTTTATCCCGCTGTGCCAAAGACATCATCGGATTTGCCATCATGTTTTTCATCATATTCTTTGCATATGCACAGTTAGGCTACCTGGTCTTCGGGTCACAAGTTGAAGAGTTTTCCACTTTTCAGAACTGCATGTATGCAGCTTTCAAACCTTTGCCATGCAGACACCCCATTTCTTGGGCACGCAAACAGCCTCCCCTCAGCAGAACTTAAAAATACAGGCCCCCACCACTTATGCTATTACAGTAATTGTACTCTCTTCAGGTAATACGAGTGCTGCAAAGCTCAGAGCCCTGTAGCCCATCCACAACCCCTTCCAGATTTCCTCTAGAAAGGCATTCTCAACGATCTTGCTGCTGCAACAACAGACTAGGTCAGATTCCAGTTGGCACCTGGAATCAGGTGTACTGCCTCCAGTACCCAATATGCTTCCACGTCAATGTTATATGCAGAGTCTTGACTGAAAACAGCCCTCATTCCTGACAGCAAGAATAATTTGTGCACGGGCATGTCGATAGGACTGTTGCCTGATCTGCAGCCCCAAATGAACTCAGAATCACACAGAACACATTCCCTGACCTCTAGGCCATGCTCCATTATGCCCTGTGGGTAAAAGTCAGAGAGAACCTGCTGAGTAATCACTCTGATTTTACAGGCGGCAGAATCTTGGCAATGAGTTGCCACCCTGCACTGCCTGTACTGGCCATAATTTTTATTGCATGGGCATATGCACAGAGCTAGCCAGTGTTTGGCTTGTGCCTTTGTAAACATTTCTCTTCCAGAAGTTCTTTAATCAGTAATCATACTTCCTACCTTACAACATAACCCCTTTAAAAGAAGGTCACGCAGTCACAATATTTCTGTTATTTTTTTCTCCAAGTTTTACACAGTTTCGCATAGTGCTGGGTGATTTTAACTTTGCGAGCATAGAGCAAGCCAACCGAATTCTCGGCCCCATTTACTTCATTACCTTCGTGTTCTTTGTGTTCTTTGTATTGCTGGTAAGTGGTGTTTTAATTATGAATAATAATAATACATTTACACTAAACACAAGTCATACTCAATCCTCTCCTTTCACATAGTGACGTTTGTGCACATCAGACTAGGCCACGTCACTCTTCTAGAGGGTTGTCTTGTGACAGTGATTGCTAGGGCCTACTGTCTTCGCTTCAGAGTTAGCCCAGGTTCTTACCCAGGTGTTGCCTTTAACCCTCCTCCCATCTCACCTGAGTTTAATGGTGGTTTCAACCCAGGCTAGCTAGCCCAACTGGAGGCATGGGTTAAAACTCTGGATCCCTGCTTTCACTTGGGCTGGTAATCCACCCACTTTGCAGTGAATGGACACAGATTAAATCACTTGAGTGCTGATAGTCCTCCAGTGCCTTCGCACAATTGCCCCTGTTCCCAGAAGGAAAGACAAGTTCTCCCACAATTCATGGGGAAAGAATCACAGAGTGCCTCAGTTTACTGCAGCACAAAGAATCACAGACAGTGCTGTCAAAAGTCTATCAACACACGCAGAGAGTGCAGTGCCAGTGATGACACAGTAACTCTGATGTAGCTTTGCTGCTCACAACTTGCTGAGCTAGAACTGTCCTCCATCAAAGAACATCACTGAATACAGGGCTGGAGGTAGGAGGACGCAGTCTGTAGTTCCATTTAGGGTGTCACACCCTTGGTATGATTCTCCTTTCCTTGATCATCTACATGCACCTTTGATTGTGTCAGTTATTTACACCAGTGTAAACGTCAGCAGAATTTGACCCTTTTTTCTAACCAGTAATCCTTAATACAAGGACACCAGTGCCCAAATGGGCATAGTTGCTACTCCTAGTTTTCTCGAACTCTGCTGCAGCAGCATTTGAGGCGGACTTTAGTGCATGTCCCTGCCATGCTAAGCACAGAAGCACTCATGAGCAAGTCAGGGAAAAAGAGAAGCGGAGTCAAAATAGGGAAAGAAGGGTGCTAGAGAAGAACCTGAATAGATTTGAGTAGATTCAGAGAAGCAGAAATAGAATTTACATAGAGAAAAATCTTCAAATGCTTCCTTTCTCTGCAGAACATGTTCTTGGCTATTATTAATGACACATATTCAGAAGTGAAAGCTGACTTTGCAGTGGCACCGAGTAAAGAATTTGAGATCAGTGACCTCATTAGACAGGTAAGTACATGCCTCTAAAATGCTCTTGTTTAAAGGGTCACACTCACAATAGAAACATATTTTCCAAGGGGGAAAAAAAAATCCACAGAACTGATTAAATGCCTGTTCTGAAATCAGTTCGTCCGTAACTATTTAAGAATATTCTGAATTTGTTTCTGCAGTTTTAACAAATAGATGAAAGTTCACGGGGTACATCTCGGAGACCTCCAACGAGGATCCTCCCGGAAAACTTGGGAAGACCAAACAAGCAGAAATTAAAACCTTTAATCCCCGCCCTCCAGCTTTCAGGCCATCTTTATACAGCACAAAGGAGCAACAAGGAGTATAAACCGCTTTCTGCTTAAACTTTTCAGGTCACCTTTAGGCCTGAAATTAAGACCTCGTCCCGTCCCAAAAAGGATGCATGTCTAGGAGAATATGTTGAACATTAAACAGTTGTATAGGATCCAGTAGAACAGGTGACCCCAGGAATGGAATACAGCCACCCTGAGATCACTCCTTTATCGGAAAAATCACTATCCATTGGGATAAGGTTTGGGGTCTGCGATTGAGAATTTGGTCAATTGGATGTGCATGAAAGCCCCAGTTCTGCCGGGATCCACTTGCATGGAGCTCACTGCAGGACCAGGGCTTCCACCCGTGTTTGCTTGAGGTATCTGCCTATATGTGCAGAGAGTTAATTACTAGGCTTTTGCAACCATTCCACTTTCCTCTGGGGTTTTGTTGGCTTGAGTCACTAATTTCCCTAGAGCCTGATTCCAAAAGGTAAGAACATTTTATACTAGGTTGTTCAGGTCCCACCAAGATAACTTTGATTTATAAAGGGGTCTAGTTTTCTCTTTTTCTCTCTAATTATGAACCATTTTAAGATTAAATCAAACATAGCAGAAGAGTCCAACTGGATTCACTTGCATATTGTCTTAGTGGATCCCATGAGGCTTTTGAATATAAAAGGGTAAATTTTCGGAGCTGAATGCAAGGTACTGGGAATGTAATTTTCATTAACACTAATAGGATTCATTTCTAAATTGCCGATGCCTCATGTTGACAGGGTGTCCCTTAAATTCAAGCATTACAAAGCTTTTTGTGCCCTGGCTTGTGGGAAAGCATTTCTCTCTGTAGAAGACCTGATTTGACATTGAACTCACTTGGTGCATTTTCCCTTTTTTAAAATTGTGCTCAGAGTTACAATAAAGCCCTTGTGAAACTCAAGCTGAAGAAATCGAAGATGGAGGATTTGTATCCGGCAGGTGGAAGCTTGCAAAGCATGAAAACGTAGGAATCCAGCCCCAGCCTTTTTTTCTTTAAACTTTCAGTAAATTACTTTTAACCCATCTACTTAATTTTCAAATACACTCGAATATCTGGAGAATGGTGCAGGAGGTAGAGCGAGTGAACTCTGTGACCCAGATCCTCAAAGGTATTTGGGCGTCTAATTCCCATTGATTTCAGGGGTGCCGTGTGCTCGTTTCCTGGGTACAACTCCCAATGATGGCAGCAGGAGGGCGGAATGGAGCTGTATAGTGCTTCGTACTGCAATTTGGTGATCATAGAAGTCAGAGATGGGAAGATCCTATCCATCCCCCTTAGCATGGGCAAGATTGCTCCCTGGAGTATATTTTCACATGGTCTCAGCACCTAGCCCTAAATCAGCCTTAATAGTCTTATTTAAAATAATAAAAACAATGCCTAGCTCTGATATAGTGCTTTTCATTCTGCTCTTGCAAAGAACTTCACAAAAATTAAGTGGGGAAACGTAAATTAAACATTAGATTGAATGAGTTAACTAATGAGACTATTAAAAGCTTTGGTTAAGTTGCAGTGGTTGCCATTTAAGAAGTAAATATTTTCATCTGTTGAGAACAGGAAAATATTGTGACTTATCTGCACAGAGTCAGTGCTATGGGGAGAAGAATATTCCCTTTTTAATAGCAACCTCTGCATAAATACTGCAGCAACTATTGCTAACCCATGGTGATGCACCTCCCTTAGGAAGCGCAGAGCCAGACCTTTCAGAAGAGCCCACTGTAGTCTTTAGATGACAAGACATCTAGGGGCAGTTTAGAGTGGTTTCTTTGAACACACACACAGGGTAACGCATGCTCAGACATGCCTTCATGTTGTGTTTGTGATGATATGCCCTTGATATGAACAGGACTCTGCATGGTTCTTCAGTCATTACAAAATAAACTACTGGTTTTCATCCTGAAGAATCTTAATGCTCGAACATCCTCACTGCCAGGCGTGAAGGCAAGAGCTCCCAGACTAGTTATGGGGTGTTTTCTTTTTTCCTGCACAATAAAAAGGTGAATGGAGCATCTACTCTCTCTCCCCTGAGCGAAGGCTCATTTCTGCCCCGAGAAGGGACAGCTAATATCCATCTCATTGGGGAGCTGTTAAATATATTGTCCCTTTCCTGGGAGTTTCTCATTAAAAGACCTCCTTAGCACACTAGATGGATTGGAGCCATATTATTTATGTGGACTCATAACCAACCAACACTCCCCACCCACCCATGCCCTGATCCCCAAGTGTGGGACAAGGCTGTGATGTTGACATAGCTTCATACTTAGCTAGTCTCAGCCTATGCTCACTTCATGGACCACCGATGATCTGCTGGCCACAGGGTGTTGGCTGTCCTTCCCATTTCCACCTGCTAAATTGGACTAAGGGAGCTAAATGCATGTCAGATGCCTTCTTAATATTATTCTGCCACACAAGCCATTGTGATGGTTGCCTCAGAATGGTCTGTGACTATGGGATCCATGAGATCACAAAATGGGAGAGACGACATCCACAAGACACTCTCTCTCTAGCAAATGGTAAACCACATTATGGGAAAACTGAGAACCGCTGACCTAGCTCATGGGCTGTCAAACTGTGGGATCAGGACCCCAAAGTGGGTCATGACCCTGTTTTAATGGGGTGACCAGGGCTGGCTTAGACTTGGTGCCCAGGGCTGACGCTGACGCCCAAGGGCTTCAGCCCTGGGCAGCAGGGTTCAGGTTACAGGCCTCCCGCCCAGGGCTGAAGCCCTGGGGCTTTGACTTTGGCCCCCCTGCCTGGGGCAGTGGGGCTTGGGCGGGCTCAGGCTGCAGTCCTTCTTCCTGGGGTCGTGTAGTTATTTTGTTGTCAGAAGGGGGGGTGGTTGCAGTGCAATAAAGTTTGAGAACCCCTGAGGGAGGTGGTTTTAGCTCATGGATCTTCTCGGTCAGTAAAGTCCTCCCATTGCTACTCTGACTGCCAAATTCCCTCCATTCAATGGCCCGTTCGCTGTTATGAGGATTTACAAAGGTCCGTCAGCGTGTCTTGTCCATTATTCTCACAAGACGAATAGTCTGAGCCATCAATCCGACTCAGACTCAGACTTTAAGGTCAGAAGGGACCATTATGATCATCTAGTCTGACCTCCCGCATGACGCAGGCCACAAAGCCGTCCCAACCCTTTCCCTTGACTCTGCTGTTGAAGTCCCCAAATCCTGTGGTTTAGAGACTTCAATTAGCAGAGAATCCTCCAGCTAGCGATCCCCGCCCCATGCTGCGGAGGAAGGCGAAAAACCTCCAGGGCCTCTGCCAATCTACCCTGGAGGAAAATTCCTTCCCGACCCCAAATATGGCGATCAGTAGAACCCCGAGCATGTAGGCAAGATTCTCCAGCCAGACCCTCATTGGCCATTATACTATTTACCAGCTATGGCATGTTGTTCCTTTGACTGAAATCACGTTCCCATTAAACCATCCCCTCCACGAACTTATCTAGCTTAATCTTAAAACCAGACAGGTCCTTCGCCCCCACCGTTTCCCTCGGAAGGCTGTTGCAATATTTCACCCCTCTGACGGTCAGAAACCTTCGTCTAATTTCTAGCCTAAACTTCCCCACGGCCAGTTTATATACATTCGTTCTCGTGTCCACATTAGTACTGAGCTGGAATAATTCCTCTCCCTCCCTGGTATTTATCCCTCTGATATATTTAAAGAGAGCAATCATATCCCCCCTCAGCCTTCGTTTGGTCAGGCTAAACAACCCGAGCTCCTCGAGTCTCCTTTCATACGACAGGTTTTCCATTCCTCTGATCATCCTAGTGGTCTCACAGACCCATGCTTTTTCTTGCTAGAGAGATTCCCCCTACACCCTCACGAGCCTCAAAGACCTACTCTGACATGATTTTCCTTTCTTTGTATGATTGATAGCAAGGGGCATTCTGCCTCCAAATCAGACGATGCTTTGAAGCTTTCCAGAAGATCTAGTGTGGACGAGAAGGTAGACTTTGTTTCTCTTTTTTTCTTACCAAAAGGCATTGACGTTATTTTAGATTTTACTCGTGATGGTCACACAGTGGAGAACACCAGGAGGGTTTCCGTTGTACGTTGATGTAACATGCTAACATTTTACATCATGGAAGTAGCGTTCAAACTTGAACGAGGCGATGAGAGTTTGCTAGTTGTATTCTCTAGCCCTCAGAGAAAGGTCAACAATAGTGCTGCTCTGTTCAGGGGAGGCCAGGCATCAGAAGAGCAGAGCTGCTGCCAGCTTGAATTAAGTGCCTTGGCAGAGACCCTAGGCAGTGGGAACATTTAACCAAGTGTTGAAGCAATACAAGAACTAGAAAGCAAAATGCTATATAAGGGGCCTGATTGGGTCACAGACCCCATCTGCTTCCAAGCATCAGAGAGAGCAAGTACTTCCACAGGTTTTATTTTGTGCTACAGAAGGAAGCGAAGAATTCCCAGGGGGCTTGTGAAGTCCATACTGAGGCAATAGAAGGTCACTGCTTCATTGCCTCCCCCTTGAACTATTTAAGAGTTCATAAAAATGGAGCTTCGACAGCTGCATAGTGGAAACTGCCTTGCCCTGGGAATTCTTTTGTTTTCTCTACTCTTTCGGTAACATTCCCTCTCCAGGTAAAGCCATCTTGGTGCCTCCCCTAACTCTGAATCAATATTTATACTCTCCCCCTCCCCCAGTTTTGGAAGGAGCAGATGCAGGATTCCCTTTAAAATGAAGAGAAGAGACCTCCAAAAAGCCAGGGAGCATTTTTCCCCCTACAGTTGCCTCTTTCCCCACAGCTACGTGCTTCCTAAAGTACATTGTGTGAGTGAATGTGTTACCTACAATGTGTGCGTGGGAGACAGCTAGCTCTTTATACAATATGGGGCTTTTCTTCTGGAAAACATACCCTTTCCTCTGTTGAGCAGGGTTATCTAAAGTCACCACAGCTACAGAAATGGAAGGAGAAGCTTGACCAGAAGTATCACTCTGCTGAGAATAAGGAATTGGCCGGGTCTCCTCAGGACCAAGTCTCTCCTCAGGAATTTCAGCAGTATGTCTTTGTCGTAGGTGGACAGAGTAGCTACTGTGTCTGTTCTAAGTGGGTGGAGGAGGTAGCAGGGCTGGCCTCTTGCAGATCAGACCGGCAGGCAGTGGGGAGAAATCAGCTTGGCTCATCTCCCACCTATTTAATATCCATTCAGCTAAGATACAACAGCCTATTCTCAATGGTCACCTGTGCCACTTTTTAACTGGGGTTTCGTACCGAGTCACCTGAGGGACAAGCAAGCAGGTCAGCACCGGTTAGAAAGAGATTGTGCAAATGCACACAGGCCTCCTGAGTTTGGGTGGAAGGGGCAAGTGGGAAGATAAGCAACTTCTAAATCCGGCCCTTCTTAAGTCTGTGAGGATCAATTGACGTGTACTGTAACCAACACGACCAGGACGGGGATAGAACCCACCACCTTCACTTACACAAGCAGCGGTTTCTAATCACTGAAGTTCCAGGAGAACTACCATAAGCAATAATACGTGGCTGTGCCAGTGGCTAGACACCCAGCTTTGCATAGGGGTTTGTCTACGTGGGAAAGTTAATTAGAAGGTAAGGGGTAAATTGAAAAAACACTAACTATTCCAGAATAGCTCCCGGGGAGGGAATGATTCCAGACTAGCTTATTCTGAAGTAGTTACTCCAGTTAGTTTCCTCAAGTCTCTTCCACCAGCAGAAGTTGGTGCAATAAAAGATATTACCTCACCCATCTGGTCTCTCCACAGCCCTAACTTTGACATTCCATCCAGCAGAGGGCAGGGCAGTAGTCTCACTGCCAATCACACCCACCCGGCTTAGCTACACGAGAAGGTTTTGCTTCTTTAAGCATACCAGCATTGTTAAAGCAGTAATCCCCTCTAGCGTGCAGGCAGTTATGCTGGTGCGTTTAAGGGGGTTATACTGAGCATGGCTTATTCCAGCTCAGGAATCGAAATCAGCTATACCCGCTATAAGACACCTTTATACTGCTATAAACTGCATCCAGAGGTTGGGTTGTACAAGTAAATCAGTTAAACACACACACACACACCCTTATCCAAAACCATTATACTGGTACAAAATCTGTGTGTAGAGCAGGCCTCTGCTCGTTCGTTGGAGTCTGAAAATCATGCTGCAGTAAATAAGGACAGTAGTGAGATGGCTGAAGAATTCACCTCACCATGGACCAGGTCCAAAGCCCACTGATGTTAACAAAAAGAATCCCACTGGTATCAGTGCGTGGGGCTCTGGCTCACTATTCCTCATTGCCCATGTTTCACATTTAGTGGTGGAGAACAGCAAGTCATAGGGAGTGAGGAACAATATGGAGAACACTAAATTATTGGGAGTAAATAGCTGTTTTATACCACTGTATCGAGAATACGGGGCACAGGAGGTGACGTATGCCCAGTCTCTGCACTGAGGTAACACCCTCCCTTCATCAGCCCTGACACACCAGGCTCAGTGGGGGCTGTGCAGCGAGGAAGTGGCACAGAAGCTTGCTCTCCTGCCAGGGCCCCATCAAGTGTGGTGGGAAGCAGCACAGGGATCAATATGCAGAGGTAAAGAAAGGGGTTGCGGTGGCATTCCCCCACATTCGCTTGGGAGAGTCGCAGTCGCTGCCTGGAGAGGTAAATGGAGATTGTAAACTCTTTGGGGCAGGGAATGTCTTTCCATTCTGCATTTATACAGCACCCTGGACAGGTCACTTACTAGGATCATCTGAGTATCTTTCACTTAATCAGTTCCCTGCCACTGTAATACTGTGGTCTAATTGTGGTCTATGGTAGGCTTGGTGTGGAGGTGGCTGCGTGGCCTGTGATATACAGGAGGGCCTGTCTGGTCTTGAATGCTACCACATTGGGGCCCTGGCCCATGACTGGGATTACCACAATACAAATAACGAGGAGGACTCTTCCAAACAGGGTTCTAAAGACCAGACGGTGCCTCCTGGGGACAATTCATCAGTGCATTTTTATTCTGTTCTAGACTTTTCAAATACGCGACGGAACTGGAGAAACGACTAAACGAGGTTAACGCGAAGCTGAGCAGAGTTCTGAAAGGCATGCCTGATCCGAAAGGCTCTCCAGACAAGAAACAGAGATAGTGAGGTATAAGGGAGGGGCCAATTTGTAATCCCCAGAGGAGTTTATTTCCTTGCTGACTGAATTTCTGAGTTATCCACAGGAGTCTCTCTCTCCTAAGTCCTGTGTTTCTGGACAGGAGGAACAGGGACCATTTCTCTTAACATTTTTCTTAAGTTGAAACAGAGAAATTCAGTATTGAACACCCTCCCACCGCCTGTAATTGTGAACCAATGTGTTCACCAGGACCCTCTCCCAACCCCCAGGCCCACTCCCACACAAACACACCAAAAGCCAGAGTTATTCCAGCTCTGTGCAGGAATCTCTGATCCCCAAGCTGCAGGGAGACTGCCTTCATGGGGCAGTGGCTGCAGAGACTTCCCAAGTAGAGCTTCACCACTTATAGAGCACTGGTGTGGGACTCAGAGAACCTAGAGAGTCTTCTCCTGGCTCTTCCATAAGCCTGCTGGGAGAACTTGGGCAAGTTGCTGCAGTTCTGTGCCTCAGTTTCCCCATCTGTGAAACAGAGAGAATGATAGTGACCTGCTTTGTAAAGCACTTCGACATTTTACCACTGTTAAGCTAAAAGCACCACAGATTTTTCTGTGTTATAGCAGATCCTGCCCACTGATAAGGATGGAAACACTTGTTTCTTAACAGGCCTTCCTTTGGCTCCCACCTCTCACAGATCAGCTTTGTCTCACCTTATACAGCAAAATCTGATTCACCTATAAAACATTGGAGAACAAGAATTCTTGTTTTCCAGTCCTCCTTCAATTGAGCCAGTAGGGGGAGCTTTCCTCTTCGCTTACCAAATCAAAGCAGCCAGCGTTGATTTTAAACAGAGCAGCCTGTCTTGGAAGGTGGATTAGGGATTTTTTTGTTGTTGTGGGTCCCCACCCCCATGTATTTGATGCTCATGGGAAGTGCTAGATTGATAGTCCTGGGGACCAGAGGTCTCTGTCCATCCACTAAACACACACCGCACAGGCAGAAGCGGCCACTCCGCTCTAGCCCAAACCTAATCTGGAGGGACCAATGCTAGAGCTCGGAAGATGTTTCCCCACCCACCTTCTCTTCCCCCTCCCCAATGACTCATTCAGATCTTTGCCATCAGTGGTACCCATTGGGGTAGACTGACATCACCAAGACATTCCCCCAGTGGATGGCTCAGGTGCAATCTTTTAGAAAGAATCCAGAGGTGGCTCACTTAAAACGAGCTGGTCATTGTGATGTTTGTTTGTTCCTGATTACAGCTGCAGAGAGACAAATTGCACAAAACAAATCCTAGATTCTAAAGCTTTCCACGCATGCTGGCAACTGGCTCCTCACAGCTAGCGCTGAAAGAACACAGACGCTAGGGAAGATGGAAGGCCTTTCAACTACAGTGCCAAGCTCTCAAATGTCATGGGAAAATAAAAATCAGCTCATCTATATGTCTGCCAAACGACTAGCTTATTTGGAGTACAGGATTCTGGCAGGCAGTAAAGCTTTCTATTGTTATCTAGCATCTAAATTTAATGCGTTCTGACTGCCACCGGCTTATAATTCAGAGAAAGGCTAAAGCACTATAAAGGGTGGAAAGGATTCAGCTCCAGGGGTGATTGCACTGGATAATCAATGCAAGTTACACCTTACAGATTGTTCAGCGATCATGTCCTCTCTGACACACAGTCCCCACGCCAAGAGAGTTTATAGACATCTCCATTATCACCAGTCTGTGCAACACCTATGAAAACGGGGCCCTGATCCTTGCCTGGGGCTCCTCAGGCTTCGCTCACCCCAATATTACAATCCCTGTCGGTTAAACACGCTCAGTGGTTCAGGGACGCGAGACAGTTAGAGGCAAAGCACATTTTAGAAACATTTCTCAATTTTATCTAGAGCGGAAATCCTCTTTACAACAAGGCTGCTGCTTCTGTTCAGCCTGGCATTGAACGAAGGTTTCAGGGACAGCCACAGTTGGTAAAATAGGGACTAAAGGGAATGGACCATCCATCTTCGTTCAGATTAACTGAGTGTTTAAATGGGCAGTTTTAGTTCCCTGCTCCAAGACCCACATTTCAGATGGGAGCCTGGGAGAGAAACCAACAAGGAAACTTAAGCGAATGTCGATTCACATTTCTCCTTTGCTGCCATGGTGGTTATTGTCTGTCTGATTAACTGGGTGACTGCCAGGAGGAAAAGCTGAACTCTGGTCACCCTCCGGTAGAAAACCAATTCTGAAGCAATTGGCAACAAGGCTATGAGGACATTCAGCTTCTTCCACTTGCACAAAACCCAGAGGGGCACCGGTGCAGAGACTGGACAGCATTGTTGTATTTTAATTCCCCAAAGATCAGTGCACATCCCACCTGCGACCCAGATTTGTTCTAGTAAAGACAAAAGAGGAGAGATGTTCTAGATTTTTGAGAGCCAGGTGTCGGTGTACAATGAGCTATGTAGCAGTGTTGCCTAGTGGATAGAGCATTGGACTGGGACTCAGAAGACCCAAGTTCTACTCCTGACTCTGCCACTGGCCTGCTGGGTGACCTTGGGCAAGTCCCTTTACCTTCCCGTACCTCAGTTTCCTCTGCTGCAAAATGGGGATAATGATACTTACCTCCCTTGTCAGCGCTTTGAAATCTGACGTAAGTGCTACATAAGAGCAGGGTGCTATCATTATTATTTCAAATTTATTTACCCATTCCTTCCATGCAGCCAGCTGCTTCGGCAGCATAGCTCTGAGCCTCTAGCCCAGGCACCCAGTCTCGGCTGGAGACCCAAGCTGCCTTCCCCTTGCTGCAGGAAAAGGGAGCTCATCAACGATGGGGCCAGCCAGGAAGAACAGAGGCTGGTTCCCAGCAAGGGAGGGGTGAGGATGGGCAGGACCCATTGGAAGCAGGATGTCCACTCCCATACTTGCTTCCAGCCACACATGCAGAAAATCAACCGGGCACAGCTGTAACCATCTCCATCCCTGGCACAGCCTACACAAAAGCTAGTCTTTAACGCTGCGTGCAGTGGTGTTGTAGCCCTGGCCATCCCAGCATATTAGAGAGAGACGGTAGGTGAGGTAATATCCTCCCACCTCACAGGGTCCTACAGCCCGAACCTGAATCTCTACCTCACAATTAAACAGCTCGAGTCAGCTGGCAGTGGACAGCTGTGTGTTTTTAACTCCAGTGGAGACATCCTCTGTTTCCTAAGGGTTCCCATGCATTTTTCTCCTCAATGCAGGAAATCCTCATGGCCAATGTTCCCTTTACAGCCTGAAGAGAGACAAACAGAGCAGTATCCAAGTAGCAATTCGGTGACTGACACTGGCCAGACAGCAAGCGCACCAGGACCGAGCCAGGTTCAGTGAGAACGTGATCCATTCCCACTCCACTCCCCAGTGTATTCTGGCCCTAGGCTCCTAGCCAGTTGAGAGTGCCAGTCGCCCCAAGGCCTAGTGAATGAGTGATGGAGACAAGCAGCCACAGTCCGTAGAGAGGGAAAACACCAGCTTCAACTTCAGTTCGTACCTAAGCTAGATTCCAGCTCAGGCCTCCAAAAGTGAAAAAATTAAGCACACAAAATGCAGTAAGTCCTGGGAGCTGCCAGCAGACAACTGCAACTCGGTACTGGATATTATCTAATCAGAGAGTCCGGCGAACACAGAGTCAGGAAAACTGAAGACCTACTAGCTCATCTACTCTATCCCCCGACATTGCAGACTTGTTGCCTACACTGTGTTTAGTAGCGCTTTGTCATCTAATCATATATAAACCTAGTAACTATGTTGCTTGGGTCAATGAAGCCCTGCCCCTGACACCTTATCACCATGCCATGGGATTCCATGCCCATTATGTAACCTTCAGAGTTTTAGATCTTTTTTCACTGTCTCTGCAAACTTTCAGGGGTGCAGTGTCACCAACCCAACGTTTTAAAAAAAAAAAAGGACCCTAATTCTCCCCCCCCGCCCCCCCCCAAAGTCATAAGATTAAAAATAAAATAAAAGCCAAAACCTAAATTGATTATTTGTCTTCTGGTTTTTGAGCCTTTGGGGAGCTCGAGGATCATACCCAGGGGAGCTAGAAACTGCCTTCTCTTTTTAAGCAGAGGAGATTCTCATGTATTCCTGTCTCCTCCAAAAAAGTCAGAAGTTAATTTGCACCCAGAAACCACAGTGATGGATAAGCATCTGAATTAGGAAACTAATTCTCTTCCAGCTGTGGCTGATGGATGGCACGGTAATGGCTAAATAGTGAAGTGCTCGATAGCAGTTTGTAATGATAAGATTTATTAGAGAAGAATTAACTTTGCTCTCCTGTGGAGATGCGTCTTGTATCCAGGAGAGAGGCTTACCCCAAGTGGCCTTATGAACAGATACTGTAAGTGCACATAAATCTGCCTTTTATTTCAGTTTTCTGCTGTAAAATGCAGTACTAACCCATTTAGAAGAGTTTTAGGTCTAAGCAAGAAGAGGCTGCTCATTAATCACATCTACCAAAATGCACCACTGGTTTGCTGGTTCCTACCTGCTCATAAATATTCAGAGTGGTGTTCTTGCTAAAGATTGTACGGTACCAGCTACGGAGACTGCTCACACATTGACCCACCTGTCACATTTCCCTGACCCGCCCCTCCAAGGGCAGGAAAGTTTGTGAAAAGGAAAATCTATCACTAGCTAGAGCAGATTTGAACCATTCTGTCTTCATAGTTCTGCTGACCTAACATATCTTCCTAATTCCCCACTGCGTATACAAATACTGATGAGAATAAGGAATGGCCTTTATCTGAGGACACACATCCCCTTGCACCCTATCTCAAACAAGTAAAGTCTTCAGCAGAATCCCACCATGCCTGACCAGTAGGAGTGAAATCCAGTCATGCTCATCAGGCATTTCTGTTCACTCTCCCAGTGCTTCCTGTTAGTGACCCAATTCCCGTTACGAAGAGTCAGCTCGACAAGGAATGCTATTCCTCCTAACAGAATCACAACCCCTTTGAAATCTTCTCTCTCTGTGTGTGTGTACACACACACACACACACACTGAAC